TATGCTGAGTGGAAATAAGCCAGTCACAAAAGGACAAATACTATATGACCCCACTTACATGAGGCACCGAGAATAGTCAAATCCATAGAGACAGAAAATAGAATGGCAGGGGGCTAGGGGGAGGTAGTGGGGAGTTAGTGATCAATGGGGACAGAGTTTCAGTGTGGAAAGACGAGAAAGTTCTGGAGATGGATGGTGGTGGTCCTACATGGTTGTACAACAGTGCAACTTTACTTAATGCCACTGAAACATGCATAAAAAATGGTTAAGACGGAAAATTTTATGTTGTGTATTTTACCATAATTATAGTAATAATGAGGAGGAGGAGGAGGAGGATAAAAGAACATTTCTTTCAACCCAAGACGGAGGAAGCTACTGAGCGTGACTCCTGCAGCTATAATTAGGCTGGACTTGAGAGCCTGGTCTTCAGAGTTCTTACACCTACAGGGGCGACAGGGTCAGCCTGCCCCGCCAATCATCCCCCAGCCAGACGGTGGCCTACCCACCCCCTTCCCAAAATAGGCTGGGAGGCTATTTTGGTACAATCTGTTCTCTCATAAAATGAGATCCCAGAACATCCATCGGTGCTCCCGGGCGCACAGCCGGCTTATCACCCACACCCACCAGGTGCTAGATGAGCCCCAGCAGAAGTGCTCTGGGGAATTACAGAGCTGGCCTTTGGAATCCGGCTCCAGACACTCCCGCTAGTCCTCCTGAGAGGAAACTGAGGCTCAGAGAAGGGGAGTTCCTGCCCCAACGCCACGCACCTCGCAGGCGAAAAGCCAGGATGTGATCAGGTCCGAGAAGCTTCGCAGCCTGTTCTGCTTTTCCTCTCCTGTTAGATGAAGCTGGCATTCTCAGCATCCATTTCTGGAAGTTTTGACAAAGACACACAGTTGTGGATTCCCCACCACAATCAAGAGACAGAACCGTTCTATCCCCCCACCCCCTTCTCCTGGCCGCTTTGGAAGCAGTCTCTCCTCCCACTCCCCGGCCCTGGCAACCGCGCATGTGTTTTCTGTCCCTATGATTTTGCTTTTCCTAAAACAGCCTTATCTAAGGAGCGCGCTGGGCGTATAGTCGGAGTTGGGCGCCTTCGCGGGGCAAAGGCCTCCGAGACGCATGCGCCGTGCCGTGCGAATCAGCCGCTCGCGCCTTTTCGCCGCTGGGTACGATTCCGCCGCCGCGGGCTTCGTGCGCCCACCGGCTGCCGGACACTGGGGATGCCTCCGTTTTTTTTTGGTGATTCCCCAAAACAGCAGCTTTGAACATTTCTTGTGTGAACACGAGTCTGTGTTTCACTTAGGAATGGGATTGCTGCGTTATACGGAAAACGGGGTCTCATTTCGCGGGACACCCGCCGCCTGTTTTCTTAGCAGCACTGGGTGAGCGGAGTCCTTACCAGCCCCTGGCATCCTGAGCTATTCTTATTTTTTTCTTAAAGGTTTTATTTATTTACTTCACAGAGAGTGAGAGAGCACAAGCAGGGGAAGCAGCAGGCAGAGGGAGAGGGAGAAGCAGGCTCCCCGCCGAACAGAGAGCCCGGTGCGGGGATCGATC